TCAGCACATGGTTTATAGCACTGTGCTGTCTTTCGTGGTTTCTGGTTGAGTCAAGGTACCCACATGGACAACAGAAGTCAGTATGGACACAAGAGAAGATGTTGAGATTTATTTATTTACAATTATTCATGTTAAAAGTTCAAAGCAGGGCAAAGAGATATCATAAAATTGAGTCACTCTTTCATCTTTCTTGTAGGTTCCTTTTAGGTACTGGGAGGCCACAATTAGGTCAGCCCCAAACTTCTCCAGGCTGAATAATCCCAACTTTTGCTGTCTTATTATACATTTATGCAGCCAAGTAAAGAACTGCGGAGATCAATGTTTTCCTGTGCAAAACACACCCAAATTTATCCTACTTGGCTCCAACTCTGAGAAGACCATAGAATAAAATATGTTCTCAAGAGGGGAAAGCTGGAGAAGGAAAGCTCCTGCAGGCTACTCACAGTCTTCTAAGTACATTATTCTCTATTTATTTATATAAACGTCACAGATACTTCCCCCAACCTCAGAAACATTAAGCCATTTAAATCTAGAGCTACATAAACACGAGAAGTGACTGCACTTACGCATTCTCCTCATCAAAATTGGCTCTCTTTGACCCAATTTTGTAGAAGGAAGGCAGCTGAGGAGGCCCCGATTTCGCAAACGCTGCCGAGGAGCCGGCGGTGCCGAAAGCGCTGTGGGACTGCTGAGACAGCTTGGGCTCCTCCTTCTTGCCAGGTGTGATGGCAAAGCCACCAAACCCAAAGCCTCTCTTGGTACCAGGTCCACCTTTATTCCAATTCATGATGACCTGTTAAAACAAGGAAATAAATTAATGCTCTGATTCAGGCAGTTATAGGGAATTGTCATGATTTTTCTTGTTAGTTGATGGCTTCAGTCGTGACACAGGGACTTGTGGAACTCTGAGTGACAAGAGTTTAATCTGGTTGCCAAAAAGGATGAGGCTCTGGTCTTTTGTCAGTAGTATGAATACACCCACAATTCCAAAGAATAAAACCAAAGTGCTTGTCTTCCAGAGCAGGTCGTGTCCTTCAAGGATTACTTAAACACATTGAAGATGTTACCTGTCCTGTTTGCAGTCTAAGGCAAACAAACCCAAGGCCAGAACTTTGAACACGAGGAGGAACAAGAGATGAAAAGACAGCTCAGTGCATATTTTGCTGCAACCCAGCAACCTCCAGAGAAATGGGCCCAGAGCAGCAAAAGGTCTGTGTGAGCCCAGGCACATTTCTGCCAAAAGCCAACTCAAATTGCCTCTCAAACCACCTTCAGCCATATATATCATCTCTAACATATTTATATGCTCCCCCATCTCTGTTTTTCAAACAGTATTTTAAACCCTCCACATAACAGTGTCTGCCCAGAAGTCGATTTTCTAAGATGATGACTGATATATTAATATTTACAGTTTATATTCTTGAGTCATTTAGTTACCTGCATGGTCAAGCAAATCATACCTGTAAGGCAGAAAAGAGAGCAAGACAACCACAACAACTGACTGTCCAAAGGCTACAAGTCTTATTGACCAAACCCTCACACTGAGAATCTTCAATGAGATCAGAACTCACTGGCAAAAGAACAACTTCAAAACAATCTGAAGGTAAACAGTGCAGCAGGTCCCTGTGCTGAACATTTACCAGTGTGGGGCTTGCTCAGTAAATCTCGAGTCAAGACCAAAGCTCAGTAGGAGATTTTGGGGGAAACTCTGCTGTTCTGCTCTCCATGGCAGCAGCTGACCATGGAGTCCTGGATACAAGTTCCCTCTTGTCCTGATCATCTGTAGCTTTTACACTTGTGGATCTGTGGCACTGGGAGATCAAAAACTACAACAGAGGGGTGAGAGGTGGAACCACATTTCTGCTGTCACAGCACAGTGGGAATCTTAGAAAACTGTTAAAATCTGATTGTAAGAATCCTTCCTCATTGTACTTATCCACCTTTTTCCCTCTTCCGCTACCTCAAAAAATAAGGCAGACCACTTTTTTATTGCCATACAGCAGCAAAAGTACAAATCACGGCCAGCTCGCCCACTCGCCAGCAGCGAGCCAACAGGGAGAGGCTCCCCCAGGACGCAGAGACTGCAGGAAAACCCCGGG